ATGATTAACCAGTGGCGGATGTAGTATAGTATCACGGGTTCAACTGAACCCATATTTTTTGATACAGAGTAAAAATTTATTTTTAAAAATTCATTAAAATGACAAAAATAGTAAATATGAACCCACAACTTTAAAAATATAATGGATACAATGCTAAAAATTTAAAAGTTGAACCCATAAAATTTAAATCCTGGATCCGCTTCTGTGATTAACTCAGGGACTTCATTATAACCCTGTCATTTCTGCACGGAGGTCATTGCTAGCAGGGTTGGGGAATCCAGTCGTAAACCACAACTAGCGAGAATCAAATAGGGTAGAAAATATACTACCAAAGGAAGGGGCCTGAAAGCAGGTTTTAGACAACACCACCTCAAGGATTGCATGTAAGTGTTCGTAACACGCAACGGAAGATAATAACAATCTTAGGCAGATCTTTTCATATTTAAAATTTATTTACATGTCAATAGATCGGATCTAAGACGTACCTGGTGAAGAAAGTCTCGTTTCAAATTCTTCGATAGTGCGAAGACTCTATGCGTATCTACACCGAGACCGATCTTTGCTATCAACTCTTTGATCAATGAAACCCGCGAATAAATTGAACGAAAAACTTGTGCTTAAATTTTTCTCAAAAATCTCAACTCAAATTAGAAGAACAAGAAATACTTTTCTTGTAATTATATTTTCTCTCTTGGCTTTGTATTGCACTCTCACTTTAACAAAGTGGGTTTTCTTCTCAAGGAAAAATTGGTAAATTTTCTTCCATCACCCTTTATATAACATCACCTATAAACCCTTTTCATATTTGATTGAGGTAATGATTTACTTAAGGTAAAAGTTTATTTTTATGAAATTTTCAATGGCCGGTTCGAATCCCATTCCATGGGTCTCGTGACAGCCAATTTTTATGGACATTCCATAAAGTCCAATTTCAAATTGGATTATAAGATCCTTATTAGTATTTAATAGAGAAAAATCATATCCCATTCTTAATGGGTTAAGTCAGCCGCTCGTCCTTTCATGGACTTTATGAGTTAATCCAATTCAAAGTTGGTTTTAACTTATGAGCGTTTTAATTATGAGTATCAAATATATCATATATATTTCAACTAAGAGATATTTCTTGACTTTGTTATGCCTTGAGAATAGTGAGTACTTTGGTTGTGATGCTTAGGCTCAGGTTTTGACTCTTGTAGAAGTACCTTAAATTTTATGATCTTAACTTTGCTTAAGTGCTTTGACTAGAGTGTGTATGAATCCAATCTTGAGTGAGTTATGTGCCATGTGTATGTAAGGTTTTGTGTTATTCTGTGCATTGCATTTGATGCCTAGAACTTGTCATGTGTGTTTGCAAAGCGAAATAGTAGTTTTGTTCACTCTTGGAAGTGATATAGGCATTTTTTTGTTGAGCCAGATATGTATATTTTACCCACATAATTGTATGTCTCGTAGTTAACTCCTTTGAGCCTGTAATCATGTTTCTTTGGCAGCCACATTACAAGCCTTACCCATTTGTTTGAATTAACCATCTATTTGAACCATTGTAACCTCTCATGAGCACTTGAATTGTTTATGAACTTTGTAAAGGTTAAAGTGTGGGGTGGTTGGTTTGGCTTTTGAGTGGAACTAATTAAATAAGGAGAAAGGTACACTGTTTTGAAAAAGTAAGTGACACTTGAATTGAAAAAAAATAGTTTGATTGTTGTGAAAAAAAATTCCTTAATAAGTGGTGGCTCTTGATGTAAGTGTGCTTAAAGAAGAATGGGGTAATATACATTGATGTGAAGGCGGAGTTTGGTTTGACATAAGTATGAGATTTGAATGTTAAAGTATATGTATTAAAGTGCTTAAGGAGGTGTAGTCACTCTTATATCTAAATGTATCCTACCCGTCTCCTAGCCTACATTACAACTAAATAAAGTCCTAATTGATCCTAGATTGAATGAGCTCGATTAGTGAAGTAGTACACTACGGGCAAGCTTATGGTGCAACTTTTGTGGCATATGAATGTTATTTCTGAGAGTGAGTGAATTCTTTCTATCTTGAGTTCCTAAGTGTTCTTAAATTTTATTTTGTGGAACTACTCTCTTTTGTTGTGTGAGGGCACTTGATTTATAAAGGAAAGGTAATGTCAGTGACCTCTATGTTAGAGTAAGTTAGTGAGTTGTGAATAATGCGTGGTACTTGTGAGTCAAATCTTGAGGTCAAGATGTTACGCTTTTGTGCTTAGTCTATTTTAAATACTCTTGGTGTGATGAGTTAGGAGAATTGTTTAAAAAGGTCGTGTCTATAAAAAAGTGTAGTTTGATTGTTCGAGGACGAGCAATGGTTTAAGTGTGGGGTGTTGATGATAGGCTATAATTACGTATTTTAGTCGCTTACTACACTCAAATTTACTGCACTTTAATTGAGTTTGAGCTTTAATCGCTAGTGTCTTGCACTAATTGTGTGTTTTATGCCTTGTAGGAGTGATTCCGAGCTATGTAGCTGTTATGGAATGAATTCAAGTGATTTGGAGTTTTGAAGTCTGAGTAAAAGCCCAAGAAATTAAGCGGGGATCGTATTCGGGGATCAACAGATGATAGAGCAACAAAACGAAGAATCGCGTAGGCATATTGCGCATTGTCTAGTAAAATGCACATAACTTTTTGCTTAGAACTCTTTTTGGGCTCCACAATATTGTTGGAAAGCTAACTCAAAGTGCTACAACTTTTATGTTTTATGTTTTTCAAAATTCCAAACAGAACAGGGTGAAAAACGCGGGCGAAACCGCGACTGCGGACATGACGCGGCAGAAACAGTAGCCTTGCAATGTACCGCGCTCGGGCCGCGGCAGTCCAGACGTGAAATATTGTCCTTTTTCGCGTAGGAGAAGGTATAATTATTTGGGCCCGACCCTACTTGGTATATATACATGGAAAAACGGTATTTTAAGAGGAGGAGAAGTACTTTTGACATAATTTAGACCTAAGGAGGAGAAGAGATCAATTTTTGACACAGATTCGACCTAAGGAGGCAGAGACACAATAAGAGCAAGGCGGCAAATTCTTTTACGAGTTTTTCCTTTCTCTTCCTATTTTTTCATCGTTGGTTATGACTTTTAGTGTTGTACTTTTACATACTATTATGAATAGCTAATTTGTTATCTAGGGTTTTGATAGAACCTTTTGTAGGATAAATTCTTGTTATGTTTTTATATAATTGAGCCGTTGGATTTCTCTACTTGTTTAACTACGTGTTTGTTGTTGTTGATTGAATGGCCATCGATTGACTGTCCTATTTATTATGTGTTGCTTGAGAAAGAGTACATATTTAGGTAGTTGTTGAACAACGTCACTCCTAACGTATGTGAAAAATCAATACAGTGGATTTAAAGGCAGGTTTAGAAATAACAAAGCCTTGACGTGGTCATAATGAGCGGTTAGATAAAGTCAACTAGCGTAGTTCGAGAGAATATGTCTAGTAAATTATTGTAATTGCTCGAGAGAGAATTACGACACCTAAAGTGCTCACGATCAGTAGAGAATACATTGAAAAAATTGTAGGGAACATAGCTAGAAGGATTCCGACAATTGGGGAAATCATAACTCTAGACCTCCTTAATTTAGTCTCCAATCATTAGTCTAGTTAGTTGATAATTTTATCGTTTTCTAGTACTTGCTAGTTAATTAGTTAGAAATATAAATCTCAATCTTTATAATTTAGAAAATTGTTCAAACTTGTCTTTTTAGTGATATTAAACAGATATAGCTAAACCTTAGTTCTCCGTGGGATTCGAATCCGGACTTTTAGACCGAATTATATTTGCAGCGACCGCTTATCCTTTTTAGGACTAGAGTTGGGCGTGATCAATCAATCACTAATTCTACAAGTATTTAATCGTACTCAATATCCTTTCAACTATCGCCCTAGGGCCATAGGTGTCTAGTATCAAAACACAATAAATAACTTCTCAATTACTATGGCGATATCAGGTCAAAGGAAATTTTTACATCACATTCTTCAAGAGAATATCCTATTGACAGTTTATGGTGATTCTAACCATTAAGAATTTTCCAATGAGTCGGTTCAATGATCATATCTCTATATGCATCATCTATCTATGTGATTTAGTTAATGAGATCAACTAGTCTTTATCACATAAAGACGATCACATAAATATTGATCTAACCGGATTACTAATGTCCAAATTAATAATCCTACGATCAAGAAAAAAATTTAGATTAAATTGTAAGAGACTTCACTCTCATTATCATGATCTCCATCAATGTCAAGTCTCAAAATTTAATCAAGGACCTTATCAAATTAATCAAGCAATTAATAACAATGATAAAAGAATATCAAATGCCATATATATTTTATATCAAATAACATTCACAAAAATATAATTTAAATCATCAAATGTGAGATTGAATCTAGGGCATATCTACCATATCCATAACAACACCACTATTTTCGTAGTTCCTTCTGTGTTTGCAAATAAAGCACTATAAGCAGATATTCTAGGAGCTAACTTTTTGAGAAACACTTCACAATGTAATAGCGTAAATATAGCAATAGACTACTCTCGATTTGTGGGCAGCGTAACACTACCTAAACTCATAATTTTTTATTTTATCTATAAGTATATCCAAGTAACCAAAAAAAAGTAAATATCTTATATAATGTGTCATATCTTCTAACTCTACTTATCGTTTTTAATTTTGGAGAAGGAGATTAAATAATTTGTATTAACTTACCCAATTATATAATTAGCGCAAGACAATTTAGGGGGAAAATAGCAACATTACAATTTGAGCTGGTGATTACAATTTACATATATAAGTAGGACTTAATTTGACATTTTAAACTTTATTTTCAGCCAAATGCCACAATATAAAATGAAACAGAGTAATTGTCAAATTTGATAGTCCGAGGACCAAATTGCATTATGTACAAAGTTCGAGAGACGGAGACTCAAGTCGGTGCGGGATACATATATTGGCTGCTAGTACTAGAATAACTCGGGTTTTCCTTTTCATTTGGTCATTTCTTCTTCTACAAGACTACAAAGCGCTAGAAGTTGTTCCACTCATCCGAAATCGCATAAACACTACTCTCTTCTTCTCACATTATTCCGATAACAATGTCGACGGAGCAATCGGTTATGGCAGTAATACGGGCCTCAAGGCCCACTTTCCGCCAGGCCCACGATAAGGTAGCTTTCGCGGTGCACGCTGCGTTCCTAGCTTCTGGGTTTGTTCTCCACGCCACTGGGCCTTCCGCCTCCACCGATGACGCTCTCTCTTCCTCCTCCGCTGGTACGTTTTTCTCGTATTTTAAGTTTTCAGCTTTCCCATTTTTTCTTTGATTTTAAGGTGTAGTATTATTTGAATTTTTGGTATTGGGTTTTTGATATTCCTGCTGCAACTTTAGAATTGTGAGTATTATTTCGTACAATGACAAAGCCAGGAATTTACTCAAGGGTGTTCAAGCTTGAAAGAAGTGAAAAATATTCTCCGAGAAAGAGTGTTCAATTTATATACTTCTAAAATCTTATATTTTACCTATATACACGTAGTGTAATTTTTTGATGAAGGGTGCCTTTATAACATGTAGCTTCACCCATGATTTTGTATATTTCTTGAGCCATAGTATTAGTGCTGGTGATTGTTCTTATTTAGAAGTTTATGGTTTTGGTCAATAATGAATATTTTTTAAAAAAGAGAGGCTATTTTGTCCCAGGCCTTTGGTCTAGTGGTAAGAATGCAGCACGTGATGTGTGGGGGTTAGGTGCACGTCACAATTCGGATCCCGTTGTAGATAAAAGCTTGGTATTTTAGTGGAGAAGGATAGAGGGGCAGGCCCATTTATCCACGAGTTTTGAGCCGTGCTTTACTTATTTCTTATTCCTAAAGACTAGAATTGAGAAACTTTACTAGTATTTGATAAAGATGAATAGACGAACTTTATAGAGAAACACGCACCAGAAGAGATTACTGCATTTTAGTCTGTCCTAATCTAGTTAAAACAGAAAGAAGAGGAGTATCTGCCTTTTAAAGTCCTGTTCCTTTGTACATCTGTGTGGGTGTCAATGATTATTGGAAACTTCAGTTTCTGTTGATATGCAATTATTTTCGCTTCCACCTTTTCTTTTGCAGTCTGTTTCTGAGATTTTCAGGTTATTTCAGATAAACTTCTGTGTAATTAGGAATGATTAGGATGCATCATATGTATTTGCAATGATTGTGTCTATTTCTTTTGAGTAGATGAGGTAGGGATTGATCATTGGAATGAATTTGAGGATAGTTATGCCTTTGTGTATTCAAAGCCTGAGAAGAGCTCCAAAAAGGTGTTGGTGAAGTGCCTTGCAATGAACAATAAGCTGCTTATAGATACACTCAGGGATGGCGATAATGAGCCTCTTCATCTTGAGCTAAGGTAAGTTCCTTTCTTTTGTTACATCAACAACCCTCCAGCTCTGCATTATGACCCCTAAACCAGTGCAAGGAGAAAGTACCTTTTTTCCCTTCCGTTGCTAGTTGAAAAAGGGAATATGTTCTGAGTGTTCCGTTATTTTTTTGATTTGTAACTTTCTGAGTGTTCTAATTGGTCCATCTTGCTAATTTGCAGCGTCGAGGACTACATTGTCGAAGATGGGGGAACGAATTACAATGCCCAGTTCAAGAATTTGGGTAAGCTGGTAGGTGAACTAAACAAAGAAGTCCTTAGCAAATATAGTGGTTCTTCTGTGGTGAATTCGTCTACTCAGACTTCAAGGTACGTGCCATTGGTTTGTTTTTCAACTTGTAATTTGGACTTTGGAGATGTGACAAATTAAATTCATAAGTTACAATTCCCTGTATGCAGTTCTGGAAAAGGAGGACTCGAAGACCAACCTAGTGCTGAGCGCAGATCTGATTACCCGTATCAGCCTGGAAGTTCTTTTCCCTCAGGGTAATGCCAAATAAAAGAGATTTGTTCTTATTCCTGTCAATAATTATTGATATATACCTTGATATGTAGCTTATTGGTTGCTCATACCTAGATAGGTGCAGTAGATCAACACATTTTCAGAATGTCACTTTATATGAATTGCATCATCATATTATGTGAGGTATGATTGTATGATGCTCCTCTACCTTGGTATTTTCAACTTGAGATGCATATACCTTGAAAAAGATGAGAAAATGGAAGGATTCCAAGGTATAGGTTTTTGTTAGAGGTGAAAGATGGAGAGCTGCCACTCTCCTCCTCTCCTCCTCTCGAATCCCTGTACTTGTTCCATCTGTATGACCTTGGATTATGTACTTTCTTCCCTTTCCTTTAGGTCTCGGGAGGGGTGAACTGATTGGGAGAAGACAACCTAGCCTGCTAGCCCTAGATACTATTCACCTCAAAGTATACGTTTCAAGGGGCCATACCTTGGCTCTATACCTAGCTGGCAATGCCTCTTTTTCAATTTCTCATAATAGTTGTTCCTTTAGCTATTTGAGCTACACTGACACTAGCATGCACTCCGGGCTTTCCTTGTTCCCGGACTTTGTGATGTGAAAAGGCTTGGCTTTTTTGAATCTTCCAAGCAGGCCATTCTTTCCCCACATGATTGTTCCTTCATGGACGCTCCTAATTTCAAGGACTAGAGAGATCTAGATTTTCAAGATCCGACAACAAATGGGCTCGAAGGACTACAGTATGGCATTCTTACTTTAATTCAACTTGTAAAGATGGAGATTCCATAAGGAAAAAAGAGGCACTGGACATGCCACAAAACATAAGAATCAGAATGTTGAAGTGAATCATCAATGTTGGAAGAACTTGAAAGTGGTTTTACTTTCTCACCCGATGTCAACAAAACTGGAATAGATGAAAGGCAATGGATCAATTATATACCAAGAAAGAGCACGTCCGGCGCCTGCCCCAAATGAAATAGCTTCCCCTGCCCCCGTCGTCTCCTTTCCATGTCAAAAAGATGAGATCATAGGGGGTGGCAGTGTAGAAAGCATCCAACAATGGCCTTTGACTTTGAAGAGAACAACCCCTCCTTCTGCTGAGGTCATACATCATAGAACAGAACCGAATTGAAGCCGAAGACCTATTCGAGGTCAAGGTCGTTCTCAAGGTCATGTCTGGCCTTGATCCGGAAGGAGATTGGACGGGAGGGGAAGCTCGGGCCTTCGAGAATCTGCGTATCACCACGGGACAAGTCTCCTTCAAATTCTGCAGTATACCTTTTTTTTTATAAGAATTCTGCAGTATGCCTTTGTAAGCTCTAGGAGTTGAAGTTCATATTTTAACTGCAGTCAACGCCTAATCAGATAGACCGTTACTGCTCAAAATCTAACTCGAAATAGGGGGCCCTGTGGAGGGAATATAACTGTTTCCCCTCATGTTCCATCCACAGGCCAGATGTGGCATGAATCTACTTGGGTGTCATCTGTTGTCGTCTTCCCACTTAATAAAATTCTGGAGCTGACATGGTAATTCCATCTCGGAATAGTCTCTCATCTTTCTCTTATCAAGACCTATATCCTTTACATACAACTAGCTTAATCATTTGGGATGTCAACCTTACACTAGCAGTATTTTGGTATTCCTTGATGCCTTACTCACCTCTCTCATCTCTATGTTGATCCTCGAGGGAGATCGCTCAGCTAGATCCTTGAACAATACCCCTCTCGACTGCTGTTGGAGCTATAGCAGTGCTGACTTGCTCTCTCTATTTTTCCCTGCCTTTTCCTCTTGTTCTGGCTCAGCTAGCCAAGCGGTTATCCTCCTTCTATTCGTTTGGCTTTTGTCTTAGGTTGGGGTCTCTGAAGAGGAGAGCTTTTGATTATCCTTTCTGTAAGAGATCCCCACCCATTTTTCTTCTTTATATGGCAGTTATACTTTTATCATTTGAGGAGTCACTCCCAACACCCCCCTCCCGCACCCTACTACTTTCGCAACCTATGTTGCAGGTTCGTCCCATAGGTACTGTGGTGGTGGTAGGATTAAATTTCCTCATAAAAAGCCTTTCATCCTGCATCTCAGAAAATAATTTTAGGCGCTCAAGGATGTTTCTGTTCAAAGTTGGGATGTATTTGCTCCCCTGTCAGACTGGCAGGCTTTTCAAACACTTCTAAGTCAAGCTCAATGCTCTGTTTTCCTTCTGTATTTTCTCATACAAAGTCCTTGCATAAATCTTCTACTCCTCTTAAGCAATTGCAGTGATTTTCTTCTCTTCCACTCTTTTAACAACTTCTTTTAGTGCCTCTCTTTCTGAGATTATATTAGACCAAATAAAATGAAACCCACAAGGGTGTGTTTCTAGTGTTGTTATTCAAGGGTTATTTGAGGGTTATGCTATTTTGCTAAGTATTCAGATTTAGTTCATTTGTGGGCCTAAGTATGTGATTTGGTGATGAGCTGTTAATGGTCAGCTGTGGCAGTTATCAGTAGATTTTATAGGAAATAGATGGAAAAATTGAGAAGAACAGAAAAGAAAGCAGGTTCTTAGTATAAGTTGCGTGGATAATTTTCTCAACGGAAATCAGATTAGGGATCAAGGGATGGAGGAGCAGGCAGACAGATAAATATGCGATTTATCTCTTTAGTTTCTGAGAGGAGGGTAATTTATACTCAGTAGTTAGGTTGCGGTAGGAGAGATCCCTTATGGTGGGACAGATTGTTCTCGAATTCTGGGTAGCATGTTCTAAAGTCACCAGAAATATGTGTAGTATTGGTTGTTGACATCCCCCCCTCACGCGCACACACAGGCGTTTTAACTTGCCCATCGCAAAATTTTGTGAAGAGTTTCAAGCTCTGATATCATGTTTAATCGGAAGCGGTGGCACAGAATTTTTACTTCCTACATTACATGGATTATACAGATATGTGGTTCCTCCCATTCCTGGCTCTGGTGGCAGTGATCTTTTCCCTGGGCCTGGTGCTGGAGTTTACCCAACCAGGTTTGATATCTTTTTGTGTTTTCCCCTCTCATGTTGAATGGCACTTGCCAGTTGGTGTATTCTGATTTGTATACATGCTAATCTTGTCTTTCCACCATCCCTTTTCTGTCATTGTAGAGGCGGCCCAGGAGGTGGGAGCATGCTTGTAGGTGTGTGACTAGTTTTGTCTTGGTTCAGATAAGGAAGTCCTAATTTTGTCTTTTGCCAACTGAGCTCTTTATGTTTTATGATGCAGGGCCTAATGACCCTCGCTTTTTTGGTGGAATGGGTGGGGATCCTCATTTACCTGGAGGACTGCCGTAAGTCTCTCTCTTTCTCTCTCATTTCAAAGATGGGAAGTGCATATTGTAAGATTGATTTTATTTGGTCTTTTCAAACAGGGGTGTTCCACCAGGTGCTCGTTTTGATCCGTATGGACCACCAGATGTTCCTGGCTTTGAGCCAGGTCGCTTTATCAGGTACTATGATGCATATCTCCTGTCGGTTAGTTTTAGATGAAATTCTGTTCTTCCCATCTAGTGTTTACTTGTTAGATGTAAACACAAAATTGATAGAGCAAGGCTTAATCTCTAAATCTCTATTTTGGTGCCTTATGCCGTTGTCCTTGAAAAACTAAGTGTACATCTTAAGTGCTCTTCTATTGGGTAAGCACGACGTAAAAATCTGTTGTTTGCAAATTATTTTGTTGAGTGAAAATAATCCAGCTTTGCAAGTTGCTTCTGGAAAAGGAAACAAGTTATTTCAGCTCTGCGACTTCTGTTTCTTTGTTCCTCTTTACTAATTTCATTTTAAAATTACATGCAGGGACCCGAGGAGGCCGGGAGGTGGAAGGCCTCATCCAGATCTGCCGCATTTTGGCGGAGATTCTGACTTTATATAGGAGTTGTGACTTTTGTGTTGTGAAAGACAAGTTAGATACATTCACTTTGGTGTTCTTTTTTTGCTTCTTTCTCCCTGATTTGTTCTCCTTGTCTTGTATATTGCGGATTTAGTGCCTGGTTGGTCAACGAGGTGTATATATGTCTTGCCAGCTTTAAATATACCTACGTTACAATTTCGTTGGCCAGGATTCATGTTACTTGGTTTTGTTCATATTCTCACTGCTTTGCGTGGTGTTGTGACATCCCTTTGTCAATATGCTGTCTTGTAGAGGCTTATCGCTCCATTCATTGGTCTAAGCAAAATTCATTTAGATATGCTATCAAGAAGGAAAGTAACTCTTTCTTAACTTGAGAAATCTTACGTGTAGTAATCTGCTCTCCTCATTGAACTCTTGCTGCAATTCTATAAGCCTTTTCTGCGAAATATAGTTTGAGAATACTGCTTTTGGAGACAATTTCAGCTAAATTGCCAAGAGGAATTGGTAGTAGTGGACTTGGCTGTAATCTTCTCAAAGCTGGTTGGGAATCGATAAGAAATTGAATGGGCATTCAAGTTTGGATTCAATTTGTCTAAGATAAAGCCATTCCTATAATAATTAATATTTTTGTGTGGAAGCTCTTATCAGACTTTGTATGTGGTTCTCCTTCGTAAGTAAGAAAGAGGACGGGCATTAAAAGTTTAAAACTAACATGTTAAAAAAGAAAAAGAAAAATAGAAGTTAAAGTGAAGACTTCGAAAAAAAGAGAAGAGACTTCGTAGACCCAGGAAAACAAAACGACAAACGGCGTAGAAAAGATATGAATAAAATTAAATGTGTTTAATACCATCCTGATGGGAAGCATTAGCAATTTTGGACTGTCAATTCTTTATGCAATTTCGGCAAAATCAATAGAATATGAAAAGAAACGAGCTGCAGAACAGCTTGTGGGCGAGCCGGAGTGATTATCGGGCATGACTAGAAATCATGTGGGCTCTGCCCGCGCAGGTTTTTGTCCAATTTTATAGTAAAAGGCGCTCTAGTTAGTCGCTCCCATTTGATTTATATTCATTTTTTTTAAAAAAAAATTTAATTTGTACCCATTTTTTAAACAACTTTAGCTCCTTTCTTCTCCTTCGTTTTCTTCTTCTTCTTCTATGGCTAAGCTTAATACTAATTGGGTACAGAAATCAAGGGACCTATATTATCAACCTGGGAAAATTTCACATTTTATGAAAGTATAAAGAATCCAAGCGATAAGACAACAGACAAAAAAAGAAAACCATGAAACCCCCAAGTTCGCAGCTTCCACAAGTCCAGAACAATAGAAAAAAAGGTGATTAATTACTGATTAATCTAGCAGCCGTTGAAGATAATATTTTGTAATGAACTCAATTGAAATAAGGAAAATAAACGACAATAATGGAAATAGACTTGTTCTTCCTTTTATGTTTTGGTTAGAGATGTAAAAAGTTGTTGAGAATTGATAAAGTAAACGTGGTCTTATGGATTCAACTTCAGCTTATATAGTGCTGAAGTTTTTACAAATGAACTAAATAACTTTAGCATCTTCTGCTGAAGTTTTTGAAAAAGCTTATCCATGACAAAAAGATTTCAGCACTAAATGCTTAAGTTCAGCAATAGAGAACAAAACTTAAGCGGACACAAGTTAAAACGTGACCCAAAAAGCGGGTATAGATGCAGATGCTCCAATTTTATATACTACCATTTATTTATTTCTTGGATTAAATCATTTGTTGTCATCATTCTGAATTTACTGCATATTTCACCGTTTCTTCTTAGTCATTCCAATATATATTCACTATACTAATTGGAGCATAAAGAAAATTTAATTTCCTGTCATTGGAGTGTCTGTGAAAATGATCAATCAGATATGATGAATTGATTGTTGATAACTTAAGTTAGATGACTATAATAAATTGAAAAATCAATAAAGTTTTTTTTTTTTTTTATTACTAATACTTTTGGGGTTCCTAGGGAAAAGACTTTATACAGAAAATAAGAGCTTTCGCTAGATGATAAGCTAATTAATTTTGCAAGGGAAACGAAATTATAATCAAGTGGAGTATAGAAATTCTATTTATTTGTAGGTATGTGTATTAGTACAAGGCACGGGGCAGTGATGAAGCTAGGAATTTACTCAACAGTGTTCAAATTTGAAAGAAGTGAAAAAAATCTCCGAGAAAGAGTATTTAATATATATTATATACCTCTAAAATATAATATTACCATATATACAGTGTAATTTTCCGACAAAAGGAATCAGTTCACCACTCTTTACAACATGCAGCTTCGCCCATGCTTGGCGGGTAAGAGGGCGGTTTGATCTAGAAAACCAACTACTACTATAAGAAAAGGAAAGTTCCTACTAATTTAACAAACAAATAATTACGTATGAACATTGGACCTTTTCGAAACGTGTGGGTCGGGCTTTTCTGTCGTATTGTACACTCTCTCATCTCTAGAAGCTCACATTATACCTTTCAAGTTTCAATCAAACTAGAGGAAAACAGCCATCTTTCTAGATTTAAAAATGACTTTATCCATTGCTTTATTTAAACTCACTTTCCTTTAAATTCTACACAAGGAACATCTAAGAACCTGCATGTATACAATTTGTCTTCTGCGTTTACAACCATTAGCATATAATAGCTAGGCTGTGTTTCCCAAAGTCTGAAACCCAAAAAAAAAAAACATAACATGTCATCATCTAAGGTTTATTTGCTCTTGCTATCACTTTTGGTTATCAATTTCTCATTCCAAGAAAAATCAAGATTTGGACTTGCTGATGCAGCAAGACCAATTTCTCTACAATCCCAGAATAGTAAGTTTTCCTCTTCAGTAGAGTATTTGAAGATGTTTCAGACTCTTGGAATGGTTTGCAAGTGTTGTGATGGTGTAGATTCTGGAGAAGGTAGAAAGCAAGATTTGTGTAGTGCTACTTGGAATGGTTCTTGCTCCAATCTTCAGTGTTTTCCTTGGAAATTCAAATGATACTCTGATGTATTTTGATTTAATTTGTGTACAAGAGGGTTTTTGCTTTGTATATATACTATTCATAGAGATCATTCATTAGCCACGCTGCTGGCCAATTCTTTTTTGCTTATTCGATTTATCATTCGTACCTATAGTTTACTGGCTCAATTAATCAGAATTCATGTAGGTCCATTAAGGGAGTAAAACACGTTCTTTATGAAGAAATTCTCAATTCTTATAGGTCAAATCCTAAAATTTTGGTTTAAGAATGGAGGAAAACCTACCATGCTACCTATACATATACTCAGTAACTTTCCCACCTAGTAAGCAAAGTGGAGTACGTGATAATACGTCGTCTGTATGATTCTTTTTATATATAAAAAGTGCAATAAAAATAGTGTGGGATTCTTATTGAAGCATATACTTGAGGTGGTGTAGGGGGGACGATTTTAGATCGGACTCCCTAACCCAAAAAAAAAGTGCCATTTAGTAAAAATGCAAAAGTTGTAAGTTGTCTCTTTCATTTATCTTTTCACTCCAAAACGTCCAAATAAGAGAAGAGAAAGATTTTCGATATATTTTGGGCGGCATCTAACTGAGCTTTTGACCTAATTTTGCTTCTAGAAACTCAAATTATTGTATTCAAGGTTAGATAGCACAAGTTCTTCCCTCCGTAATGACAGTAACATATTACCTTGATTATAAGGAGGTGTCCTGTGGAATTGGTCTTCAAATAATTATATTTTACTAAGTTTCTTTATGGGTAGGAATTACCTTTGATTATTTCAGGCAAACTCTACTTGCAAATAGAAGCACATTTGACGAATCAATAGTATCTAATAACTCTAAAATATCATCTTTCCCCGTGGAGATAGTTCAATCATCCAAATAATAACTATCTAAAACGTAGCGTGAAGGATTTCAATTTAGTGGCTTTCAGGCCATATCTACCAGTTGGGCCATCCCTTATCCCCGGTTAATTGGCCTCCACGAAGTGGTCTTATTTATGAATCTAAATAAATATCGATAAATGTTTGGCTTGTCTTACTCTTTTTCACTTCAATTTTTTTTAACAAAAAATCATCTTTCACTTCAATTAAGAAAAAATAGATCAGTCTTATCCTTATAATAACTTAAAGACAGACATGAAGGAAAACTATTTTATTATAACTCTCTCCATGTTCTCTACAATTCTCACAAATCTCCACACTTAAAATAAGCTATCAATACTTATAATAATATGAAACCTATTTCAACTAGAAACATAAAAACTTATTCCTATATTTATTCTAACAGCGAATTGTAACGACCCGGCCGGTCGTTTCATGAGTTACCGCTCTGTTTCCCCCATTTCTACTTCCTTGTGTGTTGTTCAGCTGTATTTTATCATATCGTGTTGGTTGTGTTGTGTTCGGAGTGATCTTAGAGTGGAATGAGACACTTAGTCTCTTTTGAGTAAGCTTAGGTTGGAAAAGTCAACCGGATGTTGACTTATGTGTCAAATGTCTCGGATGTAAATTTTGATGGTTCAGATAGCTCTGTTAGGTGATTTTGAACTTAGGAGCATGTTCGGAATGTAATTTGGAGGTCCGCGGTAGATTTAGGCTTGAATTGGCGAAATTGGAGTTTTGGCATTGGTCGGCAGTGGAAATCTTGATATCGGGGTCGAATTGGAATTCCAGAAATTAGAGTAGGTCTGTTGTGTCATTTGCGACGTGTGTGCAAAATTTCAGGTCATTCGGATGAGGGTTGATAGGTTTTTACACCGTTTGCGGAATTCGAAAGTTTTGAAATCCTTAGGCTTGAATCCGAAGGTGATTGATGTTTTGATGTTGTTTCGAGTGCTCCGAAGGTTGGAACAAGTTTGAATAGAGGTATGTGACTTGTTAGCGTGTTTGGTTGAGGTCCCGGGGGCCTCGAGATGGATTTGGGTGGTTGACGGAAGGTTTGGAGTGGAATAGGAGTTGCAGATTTTGCTGCTTCTGTAGTTTCCGCACCTGCGGATTAGGGACCGCAGGTGCGATGATCGCAGGCACGGGGAGATGACCGCAGGAGCGGATAGTGTCGCAGGAGCAGACGGTTAACTGCACCTGCGAGCCCGTAGGTGCGAGGCCTTGGGCGTAGGTGTGGAAGTTGGTTCTCTTAAGTGGAAACCGCAGAAGTGGAGAATTTCCGCAGAAGCGGTAGCGCAGGTGCGATTATGGGACCGCAGGTGCGGAATCCTTGGAGCAGAAACTATAAAAGCTTCCCTTCGCGATTTTCTGC